TTGTCCCCAAAGTGCACTTTCTCACTGGGAAGAGGTCCTGCTATGCAGTCTGAATCTAGAGTATGTTTTGAAATAGCTCATTCAGCTAGTGATGTGCTAAACTGCTTCTTTGTTTTCATCTTAGTAAACTCTGAGAAATGAATTGCATAGATTTCACAGCAGTGAGATTTTTTTGGTATCTGTAATAATTTTTTTTTCCTGACCCTTCTATCGCAGTGTACTGGCAAGTTTCATCAGCCAGAAGACCCTGCAACTCCTAGAACTGCAAATACTCTTAATGCAGTGGCAAACCAGAAGTCAAGTGTACGTTGAACGTGTCAGGCAGTTTAAAGAGGTGAAGTAACGTATCATGACCCACATCTAGGCCAAAGTGTTTACACACCAAAGCCAGTAGAGTTGATGTATGCTTGCTGCCTTCATCTTCAAGTGCTGCTAGCTACTGGCAGTCAGAATAAAACATGGTTTAGAAAGCAAAGTTTGATGGTACACTCCCAAGGCTCTAATCTTTTTTTGCTTAAACAAAAGTTCTGGACAAAAATCTCTCCATTGAACGTTAGTGTTAACCAAGCATTGGTGGGTTGGATCTGCCCCAGTACATCGTTCCTGACAGTGCTCAGGAGCTGAGTCAATGGTTATGGAATAATGTGACAAAAGGGGGATTTTCTTAATCCTTGGGGATTCCCCTTAAGGGGAATGTCGTAATCCCTGACATTTAATCATTGCTTGTGTCAGGAAGTGGAAATGTTTGTCTTCTGTTGCTTAAAAAAAGCAAGGTTCATTAAGGATTATATTCTTTCTTTCTAAAACAAATGAGTTTCTAATGGGAACATGCAGGAATTCATTAACAATCTAATGAATATTTCTTATAGTCCTTTTTGGTCCCAATTATATTATGCTGCAGACAGCTCCACAGGGTAAACTACGCTTTAAGTTTAAAAAGGTAGAATAGAATTTTCCTTAATCTCTTTTAAATTTGCCTGTCACTCTTAAACTCCCTGTTTTAACTTTTTAATTGTTAATTATTTTGTCTTTTGGCTGCAACATATTCTTCTGAGAAAATAAATGAGAATATTTAATTTCCCCATCTTTTTTACTATTGAAAATTTTTCTACAGCTATCCTATGTTCATCATCTCTCTCCTCATTCGCCTCCTCTCCAAACAAAAGCAGTTTTTTCTTCTTACAGCTGATTTCCCCAGATTCCTGGGGGTTTATGTTCCAGGGGTCTGAACCCTTTCTGTGGCTGCTTTTTTTTGCAGCCACATGGCTCATACTGCCTGTAGCGTTCCTGATGTCAGATTTACAGTTGTTTGGTTTGGTTTGGTTTGCTTAGGTGGAGAGAGTTTCCGCGCGCCCCCTTGAATTTCGAGCTGTAGGCTTGATACTGCCAGTGTCATCAGAAGTGGTATGAGCTGGAGTTCAAACAGGTGGCACCGTCGGGCTGCTGTCACAGGAGATGAGATCATACATTCATTCTGTCTCCGTGATGGATTTGTCTAACTCTCTCCAACTCGAGCTGACTTTGATCCCATATAATGAAAAGCCTTAAAATAGAAAGTGGAAGGGAGCAGAGAGGAGCTTTAATTATTTACCAGCTAGGTCGAATCCGTACCTTTTTTAGAGACTTCTTTTGTTGTTTTTTGGTCTATTCAGTTTTCATTAAGCCAAATTTAAATCTTTGTGCTCAGCATTGATTCAGATTTTGGGGCTGATTAAAGAGGCTTTTGAAGGAAGCTGCGTTTTTTTCTTCTTTTATTTAGTTATTTTTTTCCATTTACTAAATGGAATAAAAACGCTCCCTGAACAATTTTCAGTATTGTAGTTGCGGGAGTGCTAGGAGGTCCCAGCTCAAAGTTTTAGTTGCTCTAAGCACCTTGTGATGCGACACCCATCGTAAAACCACTGAAAGCTAGGTAGACAAAACAGATAAGAAGTGGGAGGGAGGAAGTCAATTTGTAAATACCCAGATTCACAAAACAAATCTGTGGCAGAGCTGAGACCTGATCAGGTCTCCTACCACCCACTGCTACTGTGGTGTTTAACCATGAGCCCACACTGCCCCTACTGTATTCACCCCGTGGGTAATGCCTGAGCAGCACGGACACAGTGTGGTGGTCTCCATGACACGAGTACGCTGTGACTGCCTGCATTTCGGGGCAGTATTCCGAATTACAAAAGCAGTCCCCTACATCCTGAACACTTTTATAACGTGTCTTTGACCTCCTCTGAGAATGGCAGGGATGTCATAGAATCACAGAACGGTTTGGGTTGGAAGGGACCTTAGAGACCATCTAGTTCCAACCCCCCTGCCATGGGCAGGGACACCTTCCACTAGACCAGGTTGCTCAAAGCCTCATCCAGCCTGGCCTTGAACACTTCCAAGGATGGGGCATCCACAGCGTCTCTGGGAAACCTGTTCCAGTGCTTCATCTCCCTCATTGCACAGGAGGAGTTAGTGCAGGCGTGAGTACAGCTCCTCTATGAGCATCTTGCCCTGGCAGGTCGTGCAGAAGGAGGCCAGGTGCCATCCCAAACACTTCCCCATCCTTGGAGGCTGGATTTTGTTTCCCAAGGGCACGAGCTCTGGGCAGGGGAGAGAGGGCAGGGCAGACAGGCTTTTGGTGCGCCATTCCTTGCATCATTATGCTTACAACCAGAAACAACCTTGCGTTTACGTCTGTAGACTTAAGCAAAAAAGCTTGCCTGATTTATTTTGGAAGCTTCATAGTGCGTGTGGCTGGAAAATCTGCATGCTCGAGTTGAGGCTGGAGGAACCCCAGTGCCTAGCAATACCGCTGCGTCCACGGCTCCTTCACAAAAATAGACAGTAGTGTGAAAGATAGCGACGGTTCAGAGAAATGTCCTTGCTTTATCCTCAGCCTCTCGGATACGTTAACAGACTGCTGTACATAAGGGAAAACGTGCCTTTAATAGTTCTGTCTCAGCTGCTGTTAATTTGATTTCCCTCAGGTAGTCAGTGTGCGGTCAGAAAGTCCTGGAGCAAGGCTTTTTGTAGCAAGAAGTACAAATAATTTACGCCATAATGTCTGAGGCTCGTAGACAAAGCATCCGCTACTCTGAACAAAGCAAAAAAATAATTTCTTTTATTTGGGGGTAAACATGATGAATTCAAAGAGATGGGAGGAGGTGCTGTAACAAGCAGTGTGTTTATTCAAAGCAGCTTTGTGATAACCCACAGCGAGTAGATTATGTCCAGAGCTGTGCTCAGTCTCTGTCCCGTACACATCGTGTATTTGCAGGCTGTTTGTCATGACGCTTCACAGGACAATGTCAAAATAATCTGTAGTTATTACTGAGTTACTACATATGCAGTATTTTTCAGTATCTCAGTTTCCCCGTGGAAGCTGTTAGCTTAGTTTATATTTTCAGCTCCATTTCAGCTTCTTCCATATAAACTGGGCAAGTGTGAATTCAGTACATTATGTCAATCCTGGGCCTACACTGCATTTATTTGCATTTATGTAAATCTGGAGTACTGTCTTTGAAAAGAACGGTCTGGATTCTGCCCCAAATGGTCATGCCCCATTCCTTTGCTGGAGATGCTTGACTCAATACTGCTGCAGCACTCGTTCTAATCCTACTGTAGTATTGCATGGCTCTTGTAGCTCTGCAAAAAACTAAAACTGAAGAATTTAGAGAAGAATTAGGTTATGACCAAGTGCATTTAAAAATGCCATAGTAATTACTCACAACTTTAAAATTCCTGAATGAGTTTCTTCCGTATTTGCTCTGTTCAATAGATCCCATTGACATTTAAATGTAATTCACTTTATCACCATGTTACATCATGAAGTCTGGTTTTCAGTTATTTTCATTAGTTGGTAGATGTTCTATAAAGGACATCTACCATTATTTCCTATAAGAGGAAATAATATTTGGGGCATGGAGAAAAAAGGGAATGCACTTAACCTGTTAACACTGCCTTTCTGGAATTCACTAATTAATTTGTTTTAATCTCATATTAGTATTAGGAAGGTTGGGGTTTTTTTTTATTTGTTTCTAGTAGAAGTAGTGTAAATTTGCTGAAGGTCTCCAGAAGGTTTCAGATGAGTGTATGACTGGTCCTTCAAAGACCTAACGTTGCATTCCAGCCCTTCAGACTTTCATCCCCTCTATTATTATGGAAACGTCCACTTTTCCTGGAGGTGCCAGTTCTCCTCATCATTCCTCCCTATTGTGGTGAGTGTGCACATTCACAGGGAAAAGTGCTTGACAGGAATTTCTTCCTTTGAGGTGGTTTCTACCCTAGTTTGAATTTCCATAAATCAGTGCTAAAAGGAAGGTGTGGAATAACTGAAATACTGCCCTGAAGATCACAAAAAGCACATTGTAGCATTTGAGTGTTTTGAGAATATGGGGTTTTTTTGGGGTAAAAGTTTTCCCCATGTTCAAATAAATTCTTTCATGGCAGCTACAAATGTCTTTCATAGGTGGTATGCAGTGCTGCCAATCTTTCAGCCCTCAGAAATAAGTGTCAGGGTGGGATTACTGACTGGAGTTGTGTTCAGGTCACAGGTGAAAATAAACATTGTCAGGTTGGTAATTCCCACATGATTACTTGACTTCATTTCCATAAGCCATTTTTCCCACTTCCCTTTTTTTTGCCTGTGCTTCATGTTGTTTAAATTTGGTGTGGCACTAACGTGACTCAGGGGTGCAGTGTGTTTCCCCCTATGCCACCTGCGGCCCAACAGGGCACGGGAGGCGTTTGCTGCCTGCATTGCTGCTGCCTGCATGGCTACTGCATTCGCTGCGACCTGCATTGCTGCGGCCTGTGTTGCTGTTGCCTGCGTTGTCACTGCCTGCATTGCTGCTGCCTGCATGGCTGCAGCCTGCGTTGCTATTGCATTGGCTGTGGCCTGCATTGCTGTGTCAACTGCTGCTGCCTGCATTGTTGCGGCCTGCATTGTTGCAGCCTGCGTTGCTGCTGCCTGCATTGTCGCTGCCTGCATTGTTGCAACATGCATTGCTGTGACCTGCATTGCTGTGCCAATGCCGCTGCCTGCATTGCTGTGGCCTGCATTGCTGCAGCTTGCATTGCTGCAGCCTGCGTTGTCACTGCCTGCATTGCTGCAGCCTGCGTTGCTGCGGCCTACGTTGTCACTGCCTGCATAACTGCAGCCTGCATTTCTGCGGCTTACATTGCTGCTCCCTGCATTGCTGTGACCTGCATTGCTGTGCCAATGCCGCTGCCGGCTTTTCTGCAGCCTGCATTGCTGCGGCCTTCATTGCTGCAGCCTGTGTTGCTGCGGCCTGCATTTTCGCTGCCTGCATTGCTGCGACCTGCATTGCTGTGCCAATTGCTGCTACCTCTGTTGCTGCAACCTGCATTGGTGCGGCGTGCGTTGCTGCGGCCTGCATTGTTGCGGCCTGCGTTGTAACTGCCTGCGTTGCTGCAGCCTGCGTTGCTGCAGCCTGCATTGCTGTGGCCTTCATTGCTGCTGCCTGCGTTGCTGCTGCCTGCATTGTTGCTGCCTGCAGTGCTGCAACCTGCATTGTTGTGCCAATTGCTGCTGCCTGTATTGCTGCGGCCAGCATTGCTGAGGCCTGCATTGCTGCAGCCTGCGTTGTCACTGCCTGCATTGCTGCAACCTGCGTTGCTGTGCCAATTGCCTCTGCCTGCATTTCTACAGCCTGTGTTGCTGCGGCCTGTGCTGCTGTTGCCTGTATTGCTGCACCCATTTCTGCTGCCTGTGTTATTGCTGACGGCATTGCCTAACGTGGTGCTTGGCTGCTGCCGGCAGCCCTGTTCGGGGAGCTTAGTGGGCCTTTCTCTGCAGGTGATACTGACACCCATCTATCTCGTAAGATGAGATCGTTATCTAAATATGTGTTGTAAAGCAAGACGATCCTGCCCAAGGAGAGGCTTTGTTTTCCTACACCAGTACGAGGCCAAAGAGATTCGATGTGTTCATTGCACAAAGCTCCCTGTCATGCCATCTCCCGAGTGTTGTGGTGGTTTCGTCCTTATCACCCGCGACTTTATCCCTTTCCCAAGTTTGTCTGGGTCTGTGCTACCCGCAGATGGCTCGCTGAAACCTGCCATCCCTTATCCCAGCTTCTCAGGCTGACGTTTGGGATTTCTCCACAGGATGGGTACAGCAGAGGGAGCAGTAGGACAAGCTTCTCCCAGGCCGTCTCACCCTGCCTGCTCCCTCCCCAGCCCAGACCCTCCAGCAGATCTAACCTCCCCTTCTGCCCGTACCTGTACCCCCCCAGCAGCACTGAGACACCCCCCCTTCCCCCTAAGTCTGAGGGTCTGTGCGCCCTTGGAGCCAGGACAGAGAGGGAAGGAGAGGGCTGTGTGGCAGAGCCCCCCAGCCCCTGCAGAGCAGTGATGCATTTCAGAGTGCCGCTTGCTTTTACATAACCGATCCGATGGGATTCCTGTCGGTGGCCTATATATTAATGCTCCAGCTCTCATTAGCAGCTTCTGAGACTTCCAGGTCTCCCTCTGTGTTCTTGTTATGTATTTTTTTTCTTAAAAAAAAAAAAAAGTAATTTCCTCATTTTTCCAAGATTTTTGTTTGAAGGTGGAATAAAGTGAGTTTTATTTTAGAGCATGAGGGTTCTGTGGATGAATGAAAGGGGATTGTTCCTACCTTTGGCTCAGCTGAACAGAGAATCTGCTTCATAGATGATCCTCTTCCAGTTGTGAAAAAAGCGTGGGTGTCACTCCATCCACATGCATGTCTGCCTGCACGCACACTTCAGGCATTGCCCGAATTTCTATAAAAGGCCTGCAGTTGTCTGTCCAAGCAAACATAAATACCTAACGTTTGTGGCATATTTATGAAATAACTTACTGGAAACCTTTTTCAGTGCAGAATATAGCACTGCAGTGAAACCAAGGTGCTGGTGTGAGACAGGAGAACAGAGCCATTTCCGTAACAAAAATACTCAATTTATTTCATAGTATCAGGAATAAGGACATCAATTTCAGGAGAAATTTGTGACGAGACCAATTTTGGTGTTTCAGTTAACTCTTTTCAGGAACAGGCAGGCTGCAATGAGCTCTCTTAATTAGCAGTCTTCACTACCTTTTGTATCCTCAAAGCATAGAGGGTTCTTACCATTGAGGAGACAAAGACAATATCGTGCTGGAGAAAAGGCTGTGTCATGAATCTTCCTTTCTGGCATGTGGTGTGTTTGTTTATTTTCCTTCTGAGTTTGACCTTCTAAGGGAAGACAATCACGTTATGCTTGTTTGTCTCACACTTCTGGCCACAGCCAGTAGTTTTGAACTCATTAGACACCTTCTGCTGAATTTAACACAGGGGAAAAAATCTCAGCTATACTGGTTCTCCTTGACTCTGGTGAAGTGGGATTAAAGATAACACCCCAGTTAAGGACAGCACAGGCAAAATTCCCCTCTGGAAACAGCTCCCACGTGTGCTGGCTGAGCACAGACAGCTCTGAACCAGCTGCATGATCTGGTTGCTGCTTTTTCCCCACGAGGGAGAAGTACAAGAGGGTGCATGGAATACTTGATTAGCACAACCGTGGAGGCCTGGGGAAATTAAAAGGATTATTGTGGAGACAGCAGCATGGGTTGGTTGCATGGTACGTTAAAGGAAGCTGAAAGCGCAGGTGGGCAACACTTATGTCCTGAGGGGTTGGAGTAGTCGTGAGACTTTAGTGAGACTTTAGAGGAAACGGCTGGGAGAAGTAAATAACAAAGGATCATAAATCTTTAGGAGAGCAGTCTTCATTAGATGCACTGCTCTCCAAGCAACTTCAATGAACTATAGCTGTCGCTTCAAACCTTTCAAGTTTAGCGTTTTCAAGTAGAGGACGAACAATGGATGATACAGCCTTTTTTTAATCCATGAACGCCATCAGGCCAGGAAAGATTTTTCCAGGGCTCAACACTGTGTGGGATTAGGTTTATTTGTTTTCTTTATTTATGGGAAAATATTTTTCCTTTCAGTGTGGTAAAATTAAACCATTTACTTACAAAACTTAATTTTTTTAAAAGTTCTCTTTATTGTAACTCTGAGATCTTCCTTTTGCTGATCAATTTGGACATCTAACAAAAAGAGTAGTATTTTTCCTGGTTTTAGTGTTTGGATTAAAGACAAATGGAAGCTGAATTGTTCTAGTTCTCAGGTATTTTGCAAGTAAACTTGAAAATGCATCTGGTAAATAATGGTTTGATTTCGCAGAAAACAGGGCAAGTGCACAGTTTTTCATAAGTTGCTTAATTATTCGTAATTAATGTTCATACTTCGTTCGTGCTTAGAAAAAAGCGCCGAAGCCTTTATATCCTGCCTCTTGTAGGTGTGACGTGCTTGTATAGGATGATAAACACTGGTTTAAGCCATGGGTTTATCCAAAAAAAGCTACCAAACTGTAAATACAATGTACGAAAAAGGAAAGAAGTGTTCAAAAGTAAATAATGGATTTTTTTCTTTATTCAGTAAAATGGATTGACAGAAAATACAATTTGTTCCTGAAGCTTAGATGTATGACCATGGATGATCTCCTTTCTTCCCACATAGCTTGAATCACAGAAACAGAGAAATCAAGAACAGAAAAGTCAGCACAGAAAATCCCCTGTTGCTCTAAAACTGCTCCCGCAGTATGTACCGAGTGCATTCCCCGTTCACTTTATTAATGCTTACAGAGGATGCAAGCTATTGGAATATGTTTTGCAAAGAGCGGAGCTAACCCACCTGACCATTTTCAGTGACTGCGCTTTCTCCCATTATCCAGTGAGCCTCCCAGAAACGGCAGCAAGATTAGGCTCAGGGAGGAGACAGTGTTGGAATAAATATCTTTGGAGCAGTCAGACTCCACGCTGGGGGACCACAGGAGTATTTGCTTCATGTGAGCCCATCTCAGTACCCTGGGGCTGCCTTTCAGAGCCGTGCTGGATGCTGCGTCATGGGCACGGTAGGGCAGTGGGTGCTACCAAGAGTCCTCTAACCCTGCCGGCTTCAGTAGCTGTTCCCCATCTTTTCCAATAAAAAATGGTGGATGGGAGAGAAGCCACTCATGGGTCAACACTTGGCCAAGCCCCATCTATTGGACCGTGTTGGAGAGGGCTGGTGTAACCATGTGGCTGAGTAGCCAAGGCTGAGGTAGGTGGGGGGGGGGTTGATGAGTGTGTAGATTGAGTAGTACTGAATAAAGTCAGCGTGCTGGATCCACTGTGACAGATGGGAACTGCGTTCCTGTCAATGCCATGGTAGTCCCCTACTCAGAGCTCTTCCTCGCAAACCAACCTGTGCTGAAATCATCTGCAGAGGTTAACGAGATCATTCCCAAGAGCTGGAAATACTCTGAGTGAGACCTAGAAGGGCTGAGCCCGTAGGGCACAAGACGTTGCTTGTCCCAGTAAGCCCAAATGTTAAGACTGCCAAGACAAATGAATGCAAGACACTGACAGACAAGGGAAGACAAAGAGCGATTCTGTGCACGTTAAAAATAGCCGAACGTGAAGGGACAGACCATGCCTCTTGGGCACGGGGCTAAATTGGGAAGGGGTAGGAAGTCACACGGCTCCAAACATGTTACATATTTACACTTGTCACTGGTACCAAATTACTCTCTCCTCCCCGACACTCCCTTCTCCTCTCCGCTTCCATGCCAGCACTCGCGCCAGCTCCTCCTCCCACTCCTCCACAAGAACTTGCTATTAATATACATTTATATATCTCAAACCTAACGCCACAGAGGTCCCTGGTTATTACGTCTGGTGATGGTTTTAAGCAATAATCCCTGCTGAGAGTGAGTGTGGTATTCCCTGTCACAGCTGTGGCAAATCTCTCCCGAGTGTACCCTTTGCCTTGCATGTTAGACACTTATTATTGAACATCTCTTCATCTGAGGAAACTGGACACCCATCTTCTCATTGGCTTATGTGATAGAGTTTTTGGACACATGACCTCCGACTGGCCCATTCAGGGGAATGGGATCATGCTGCCCATGTTGCCATCCAAGGTTTCCTAGTAATTTCCAGCATGCTGTTTTCCAAAGCTCCACCTCCCACGTACTCTTAAGTTTATAAATAACCTCTTAAGAGACATGGGAAGCAAACACTTCAAGTGTTCCTTTAGAGGATTCAAAACTCAATCTCTTTTTTCCCCATACCTAGTAAGGGAAATACACAAGCTTAGGAAAAAGTGGGGATGTGCGTCTGTGGATTGCCCTGCCTTTGTTTTTCCCCACGCTTAAGCACTCTCTAGAGGTAGGCTGGAGTCCAAGAAACAGCCTAGTCTTAATCCTTCCTGTTCGTGACTTCACTTCTAAATCACCACATTTGTCCATCACACCTTCTTCCGTGGGGAGCTTCTTCCTTCCTTCCTGGTTGCAGTAATTAAAAGGGAGCCCTCAGCCACTAAAGCATGACTTAACTTTGTTCTTCCTCTTTTGCCTCTCTGAGCATCTGAAGCACTGTGCTTTTTAACACCTAATGTCAACACTTGGCCTCTGCTTCTAGTGATTATCTGCCCTTCAAGGCTGACATCCTAACAAAACAGCTGAAAAAAAACCCCTGCTTTGAGGTATGATATTCTCATTGTGTTATATGAAGTCGCTCCATCTGAATGGGAGACACTGCCTCATTGACTCTCTCAGCCCCGAGAGATTTGTAAGCCGGTGGTGTTAGAGGTGGCTCTGTTAGAAAGCGGTGCCAGGCAGCCTTCCTGGAATTCACTGCAGCTCCTAAAATTGTGTAATAGACACATTCCCTGCTCCGTTGTATCAGC